TAAAATCAATTGTTTTCAAATTTCATATAGTTAAACAAATTTTTAATAAAACATTCTAAAAATTCTTTAAAAAAAAAAATTATAATTTGCTTAATTAGACATATGCAAAGTATATGTGAATTTGGATAAACAATGGAATAAACGATGGAAATGTTCAAGATCTCAAACGAATTAAAAATTTGTTTGAAAATCTGATATTCCTTTTCACGTTTTCCGAGCGATAATAGCCACGAACGGTTTGGTGTAAGAGCGACGGCACGCAACGACCCGGGGAAAATGTGGGTCTGCGGGTCGTCAAATACCCATTGACTCCGATCAATCGTGAGCCATCGTGAGCAAGGACTCTTCTCCTACAATCGCGTGTATTTTCTGGTCGTTGACCGTCGTCGGACGGCGAACTCACCCGGGCCCGGCGATCACGAGTCGCTCTACCGCTAGGAAAAACTGGGCGAACCAGGGACAGATCATAAAAACTCACTTGAACGAGTGAAGTAATTGTACGTCCGGTGCCTCCCTCGTGACTTCCCTCGGGGCGCTCTCCGAGAGCGCCAGAAATTCGCACGTGCGCACTGCTTTCTGTATGTCTTATCATTGAATACCTCAAAGTGTCAGGCAGATATTATGTTTAAATTACAGTAGAAAATGAATACTACATCTTAGCCAGACGAAAAATTGTATTTCAGAAATATAACATTTCATGTATCTGTCTGTCGTTCGTGTTTGAAATTAAATAAAATTGTTAGAACATATATAATTTTCTTTCCATATACTTTTCATTGCTTTTGTTTATCGTTCATTGTCGCTGGCATTATTCAAATGTAATTTGTATTTTATATGTATTTATTAGCGAAGATTGAAGATTTGAAATGTAAATAACACAAAGATTTTGGAACAATAAAGATTTGAAGTGCAAATGGATTTATTTATTGAAGATATTACTAAAAATCAGAATATTATTTTCCAAAAATAATATACAAACTTGTTAAAATCTTTATAATAGTATGAGAATGCAATTTAATGTTAATCTATACATCTCTTCAGACCATCCTTATATCCGTTATATTAAAACGTCAAAGAATCATTAAAGTATTATAATTAAAAATGATTGTGACAGATTAATGATGGGCTTCTACCTATAAGTCAATATACTAACTAATCTTACAAGATTGATAAGGGAGTTAGTCTAGCTGAAACCGGATTCGTATGATTGAAATTAATTAACGGTTTCTACATCATATCATGTCAGCAAAGCGACAAGATATTAAACGGCAAGAAATAAGAAGATCATAATGGAACTGTCGTCTTAATACACCATGACAGAATAATCGCGGAATAACATGTTTCTGCAAATTGAGTCATACCTTATTACCACACAAGAATTTGGACTTCACAAATATTTCACAAAGATGTTGTATAAGCGAGATATTTGCCAAGAAGAATACTTCGGTTTTCATTCCATTCCAATAGTCCAGAACTGAAGAGCAAGCACGTCCGATCATTTGAAACATTAATCAAATCGTCTGTTGCAGCACGCGACCTATTTCACTACTTCGTTATTTCACTTTTTGAAACGATGAGATATATCAATGCTATCGGCAAGCTAATGGTGTTAGCATAGATTACGACGGGTTGGTGAAGGGGCCCCCTACATCCTAGATACATACATCCACTGCATGTGCGAGAGTAAGTCGTCCAATCTCATTTGTATAAAATAAAAAGTATCGTATAATCGCTATTAACCTTTGCGCTCGTTTGCGTTGAATTCGATACGCTTCGTTAAATCTCGCGGTAATAACCAGTCTAACTTTTATGAGCTCAATGATCGTATTTAAATATTAAGTTAAAGATAAATGTCTCGTATAAAATGGGCAGATTTTTATTTCGTACATCATCATTAAACAAAATTACAGATATTTTCTAAATTATTAGAATCAATACACAATAATTGTATATCGTATTTTCACACCTTACCCAATATTTGTCTATTTGAGAGAATTTTTGTATTGAATATTTTTATATTTGTGTAGATTTATCTTTTATGTCTATTGTAAAGTAAAAATAATAAAAGATAAGATTAACGCATTTGTAATGAATTAGTTAAAAATTACACTCTCGTTTATTTATTACGGTCAAATTAAAACCTTTCCATAATTATTATACGTTTTAAATTTAACCGTAACGACCGCGTATTAATAGAACAGTGTCGGATGTGTAGTTTTATTTTAGTGGAACTCGAGAACACGTCTGCATAAGTTATGGGATACGTCAAGTGGCGTACGCTTCACTAACGAGAGCACTCATAGCAGTCCCAGGCCCTTAAGCATGATCACCTGTTAGTAGCCGTCCAACATCGTCCAATAGTCGTAATAACGATAAGATAGCAACTGGATGGGATGAAATATTATCGTTTCGTCGCGCGCGCGCGCGCGCGGAGTCCGCGTCTCGTTTTCTATAATTCGACGCCGTGTGACTCAGGATTGCCAGCGATTGGAGCACACGACCAGGCTTTAATTTAATCCTCCGGGAGTCTCAGGCGGTCGTAAAGGGGAACCGGTTGCATACGATTGGAATTTGCATAGGAAAGCCCGCGGTACCGCGGTGCAACGCATGAGCGACGTCGAACTTCTTCCTTTTCGCTCGTCGCGCGTCGTATGAATGTTTTGTCTGTCTCTTTTTCCTCGCGACTCGACGAGGCGCGAGACACGGCCGCGTAACATTTTCTTCAGCCGCCGATTCCGTCTTCTAAACGGGAATTCCGTGCTAACCGATTGGCATGCAATCAACCGCGTTCAATTCGCCTCTGCTGCGCGCGCGCTACTTTATCGATATTGATGAGAAGGATCGAGGTCACCGCGATTTCCGAAGATAAATGCGTCTGGAAAAGCGAAAGAGCAACGTCGATAAGAACTTGGAAAAACATGATAAGAGAAATATTTATTAAATCGGACGATTCCCAGATCCAGAAGATGTAGAACGAGTGAGAACCTTTATCCTGATGATGGCAGACGGCCTAAATTACAACCATCCTGCCTGGTAATTACAATTGATTTAGTCGTGCCACATTCGACGTAACACATACATGAATTGCATGAAGATCAGAGACAAGGTATAGGTGCAATTAAAGCCTAATAATTATTCACAAGTCGTTACAAGAATGCGCCACGAATTAATTGCGATTGCAATTGTATTGTTTTAATCTCGTTACATTTCTGATCATTGACACACACTCTTTCCGTAACTTGCAACATGAATGTCTTGTGCATTTTTAATCTGTTAGAAGAATTACATTTACTTACTTATTATTTTATAATTGCAATGGATTACATCTATTCAACTTTTATTTATAATTTATTTATATGTAATAGGCGCTTATTAGCAACTTATTTATATTCGTATAATTGTAGATATATCGCTTGTGGCTAATAATCTTTACAAATTCTTGTTAAATTCTTTCTCGACAATTGTTACAATACTATGTATTTTGTCGCTGTAACAATAAAATCTGTAATCGCATATTAAAATTCCAAAATCCAAAATCGAAGCTACACGTCAGCAAGGATCGTCATCAGTCATAAATTAAAATGCTATTTCATTCAGATGAAATTACGGACGTATGTATCTGGCGATACGTGCATGCGCACATTTACTTGTCTACACTCGTTACCTTCCCTTGCTCGATTCAATCAAGCGCAATATTAAGGGCAGCGATCAACTGTGATGTACTATAATTGAGCAGTTATTACAACGCGAAATGGAAAGTGACACACATTCTTTTTATTATATTATATTCTGATCTTAAAAGTCACGAAGTAAAACTGATTGTTTTATGTAATATTATAATGCTTTCAAATATTATAATAAATTACTCCAAAAAAAAAAATGTAAAACTGTGCGTATCCGTTTTGTCAAAATTTGTTGATAAATAATATCTTTTTCTTACTATCTCGCACGCTTACTCGTTTTATCATTGTAACGGATACAATATTATATGGTATTTTTTTTATTATGTCATATATTTAAATAAAAATTTAATAGTGTTAGCGATCTCTCAGCAAGATAGAAACTCTCAATCAACGATCAATGCAAGTGATGGCTATTTCGATCCGGTGGAAGAGCGAGTACAACTTGTTACTCGAAGCGACTCGTCTCACAACTCACTATCAAGGCAGACCAGTAGAAATGGCGTAAAATGGAAAGTGACGTAATTTTAAATCTCCCTCGAATGCTGTCACGCGAGCGAGCGAAGATGATGGCTGATTCTCTGTCATCACCTGTATGAAAGAGACGCATTGATGCGGCGAACACGCAAAACTGAGGGTCGAATAGTGATCCTGACCTTTCCCCCTCTCCCTCCCTCCCCCAAGATCGCATCAATACTCTCAAGGTTCGTATGCATCGCGATAAGATGATATTAAAAAGAAAAAGAGAAAGGAAAGAATAGAGAGAGAGAGAGAGAGAGAAATTCTCTATTGCCTTAGAATTATTTCTATAGAAAATTTTTTTAATTATTGTACAAATATATATTTAAATTATAATAAATTAATATATATTTAATTATAATAAATTATAATAATTATGTTTATATTGATGTGTTTTATTATGGTTATGTTTTTTTTCTTTAAAGATGAAAAGTTCGCTCAGATTACAGCAATATATTTGCTGTCATCTAGTGTAGATTTTTCGCGAAAATATCTACACCGAGAATATTTGTTCTAGCGTA